GCGGGGAAAATTCCCCGCGAAATTTCGCGGGGAGAAAATGTCCCTCATCCCCGCCCCGCGGGGAGGAATATTCCTCCTCGCCCCCGTCCCCGTGACGGGGATCCCCGCGGGGCCCCGCGGGGATCGGGGCAAATTGCCACCCCTAAGCACAAGACAAGAAAGGCTTCTCTTTATGCATAATATGGCAGGCTTTGGCTTCCAACAAGGCTGTGCATTAATATATATAAGAAGTGCAAATGGTTGTTCAAGAAACTTTTGTGTTACACCTGCTTCAGTTGTGTTTATCAAACAAACAGGTTTTTTTAATCAAATAGACAACATGAGAAGCTCTCTCCCTATAATATGTATGATCGAATCAAGAAATCCCCAACCATGTGTCCATATTTTATGGATGGGATTTTCTTGAAAGTTCGTTCACCTCAACATGATAAAGATCAGTTATTTAAGGTTCCAACAAACAAGAAAATGTTATGAAACTTTAAAGCAACTGAATTAATTATCAAATAATAAAGGACTTCATTCATATCAAGCACAAGCCAAGGATTGTTCAAACATGAAGATAAAAAAGATGAGCCGTTAGAAGCTAAGTCATTTAATGTCCAAACAACTAGTACTATACACAACAAAATTTCCAAAGAGTCTAGAAAATCACATTGGTATATTGAAAATACTAAAAATGATCCATTCCATCAGTTTTTTCCATTACACTACCAACACAATTCATGTTGTGTAATTGTCAAAAACTTTGAGAAAGCAACTTACAAATGAACAAATATTAAATGAATGAATGGATGCTGATAATTGAATGCCTATTAGAAAATTTTGATTGCATATATGCTGCATGTATGATTTTGTAATCTCTAGTATTACAATCAATAACAGAATAATTAACATAATTTTGATTCGAAGTTGTAGAAGGCAAGTTGAGGCATAGAGAAAGAAGTGACACCTAAAGATCTTTCCAGACATTGAAATTGGTACTTGAACTGTTATAGTTAGTTGTCATATCTTGGCATCCAATAAAGAATGTACTATGAAGGGGATCAATATTTACTAGAGCATGTGCTGTTCCTCTAGTACTAGTTGCAACAACAACCTCATCCTGATCAATTATCGCTTCAACATAGCCTTTATCAACTATCTGATGGTTTTCCAACTGTAATTTGATCAACAAAAATATGGAAATCAGCTATAGTTGAGCCATTTTCATTCCTAAACTAGCATATATTCTATTTTCTGTTTAATCACTTAAGCTCTCTTCCTCTCTCACTACGTAACAAAATAAACAATATCCGACTGGTGTACCAACAATTAACACTACCACCAATATAATTAAAGCTCTGTATAAATGCATAAGATGTCCTTTATAATTTCTATCCATACCACTGCATCATATCAAGTAAATGGAGCACAAAAGATGAAGTATTGCACAAGAGAAATAAAAGCTGCAAAAATTCACACGTTATACATCCATGCATTATAGTTTTGTTTTCCATTATCTTGAAAGAAGTTTGTCTTTACTTTATTATGGAATATTTTAGAAGCATACAACTAAACCAGAATACAATTGCAATAGCAACCAACTTCACCATATGTATCAGTGCATGTATGCACAAAGTTAAATAAATTTAACAAAATGGAAGTGATTGGGATCCAATGAAAAGTTGAATATCTTTAACTCTTAATGCTTTGATTAGCAAGAGTTTTACCTTTATTACTTACATGTAAAGTTAAACAAATTTTTGTAATATAAATGGAATTAACCTGATAGCAATAGTTGTACACCAAAGTATTTCAATCTTGGAATCCAAAGGAAAATTTTGAAAGAAAATTAGATAGGAAAACAAAATCATGTTTTGGAGATAGTACCATCATTCTTGTTAATCATGTATTGCCCAGTCTGATCTATCGTTAATAGAAGAAGTAACATACAAATTTTTTTTCAATTCTCTAGGTGGAAATGACAAATGAGAAGACCAGACCATATCTCTCAAGAGAAAAACTTTACATTAATCAGAAGGAAGCATACCCTAAATTTTGTTTTAGCTCCCCAAATGATGAATGTCTCATTACAAGTATAGTGTCCATGGTTTCCTTTCACACCACCTGGTCGAATTTCACCAAGATATACTGATGCACAAAACACAACACGACTTGTAGGAGAATGCAATCTTCTTTAAGACGAGCAAAATGAATAAGGAGACTAAAAAGCATAGTCAAAGATTCAATCAAAAAGGAATATATATTGCCTATGGTTTAATATCAAAGACTGAAGGCTCCAACCTCCACCCAAAGAGAGCATAGTCATAACTAAAAAAGAAAAGGTTATATTTTAAAAGGCTACATTCCTTTCATAATATACTTTGACTTGTTTTTGATAATTGATATAGAACTTTATGGAGGAAAATGTATTTTTTAAAACTTTTATGGAAACAATTTCTAAAAGTTAAACTTCCAAACTCATCATCATAGCAGACAACCTATCCTTTCAATATCGGGGCTGCCAATTTCTAATTCTAGTACCCAAAGGCTAAATCATTCAATGATATGAAGCCTAATGCCAATTCAAGCCATTCTTCCCCAAAAAATCAAGCCTCACAAATCATTATGACCATGCAAACCAACAAAGTTAAAAGTGCCAACTTTATGCATACAATAGTACACACAATTAAATAACTAGTTAAATACACACCACAATCCAATCTTCACACATATAATTTTGCAGGTATGATCTTTTATTTTTTCACAAATCCAAAGCAACTGAACTAGCTCAATTCAACCTCAGGATTAGGGGTTCTAATTCCTGGTTTCTCTAATCACTACAATTGCCTTAAAAGAATCCAATGCATATAAAAATTATCATAATCGTTAAGGAGATTTCACCCTAGATATTTGAAGACAATAAGAACCAAAAGCACATATTTTGAATAAAATCACAGCATATACATACAGCAGGACATTGAGGCATTAGAGAATTGGCCACACAAATTTTATACATACAAATTAGAGGCACAGAGATAGATATGAGCCTTTAACACCAAAGTTAAGAGTAAGGGTTATGGGATTAAGCAACCACCCACACTTGTCCTTGGTAATGGAAGAAGGGAACCTAGCTTTGAATCTAACAAGATTAGCCTTAAGATCATCATCTTGGCTCCATTTCTCATGGGTTCTCAAGAAACCATGAGAAGGAGAAGATGGTTGTAATTTGAGGAAGACCCATGTCAGCAAAAGAAGCCCTAAGAGCAGGAAAGGGAAGGCCTGGGGCTTTCTTCAAGAAATGGGTAAAAGATGAGAGTGAAGACGAGGTTTGAGTCTGAAATGGGTTCTCGTTGGTGTATGAATTCCTTCTAGGGTTCGCCATTGTTTGCTTGCATTTGCATTCTCTTCGCCGATCCTGCAAGCTAGCTTTGATATTCCATGTTTAACACCCCCTATTTCTGGAATTACATTCTTTTATTTTATTTTTTTGTATTTAAGGAATAGTGCATATTAGGCCACTCCAAAAAAAATTAAAATTTGAATTTTAAACTCTATTATTTTATTTAATTAAAATTTAATTTAAAATTTTAAAAATTATTGTATTAAATATTAATATTTTATATTTTAAAATTAATTATATTAGAATATACTATAAATTTTTAAATTTAGATATCAACATTTAATACGATGAGATTTTAATTTTCAAATATAAATTAAGATTTTAATTATTTTTGGAAATTAAAATTGATACGCACTAACATTTTATATTTATTACTTATATTTATTGGAAATTAAGAAAGTAAATTAGGTAATAAATTGTCTATTAATTTATTTTGTTTTCAAACAAGGACAAAGATAATGTGGGGATGTTGAGAGCTAGGTGTTTAACATATGTTTTCAAACTTTAAATGGATAACTCTCAAGAGTCTCAAGTGGTATTAAGTTTGAAACTTTAAAGGAGATTTTATATTGAATCACTAAAGCAAATAGAGAGAGTTTATGGGAAAAGAGTGACTATTTTTTGATCATATAGTTCAATAATCTAATGTACCAATAAAAACTTTTAAATAGGTAGAATTTGAATCTCCTAGAATGTTACTTTAAGGGTATAATTTTGAATTTTTTTTTATAAAAAATGCTATAATTATAATGCTACATAATATTATAAACTTATAACATGATATATCGTTATATAATGATTCTTTTCACTCAAGAGTTTACCTGTAATATTATTTACATTTATTTATTTAATATCATATTATACTCATTTAATATTATATGATAATTATAAACTTATAATTTTATATACTATTGGAATTATAGTATCATTATTTTTTCTTTATTAACAAGGACATGTGAATTGAAATGAGAAAAATCATCCTTAAGAACTAAATCAGCTCATGCCCAATTCTTTATAGACTAGAAAGATGACATTATAAAATAGAGTTTGTATTTTGTAAAATACCAATCATTAGGCACAATTTTTTCCGATATCATGGCTCTTTTTATTTAATAATTAATAAATATTTTACTTTTGCACTTGGGCCTTATGGTCCAATGATTGTACACTTATCCTAAGATGCATCTCCTCAACCCTAAAGTTGGGGTTTGGATCCCCCCATCGCCAAATTATAAATTGATTAAAAAAAAATTGCTTTTGAATTTGCAAAATACTTATTTCATAAAAGGCAGATAAAGCAAAAGGGCAAAAACCTACTTTTAACCCCTCATCTTATTAAGTTTAAAGGTTTTAGCTCCTCATCTTATATTATGACACTTTTTGCCCCTCACTTTACTAGATTTGTAGGTTTAACTTATCACCTTATACCATGACACTTTTAACCCCTCACTTATTAAAATTGAAGAAAATAGCCATCACTTTATAACATTTTATTAGTTTTGTTAGCTGATTATTAATTTTATTAGCTGACTGTTAGTTGACTATTAATTAACAAAAACTTTTTTTAACTAACAAAATTAATAGAACTAATTTTATAATATTTCGTTCATTCTATTAACTGACTATTAGTTAACTGTTAGCTAACAAAAATTTATTTTTAACTAACAGAGTTAACAGTTAGTATAAAGTGAAGGTTATTTTCTTTTATTTTGATAGGTAGGGGACTAAAACCTACAAATTTAGTAAGGTAAGGGGTTAAGAATGTTATAATATAAGATGAAGGGTTAAAATATTCAAATTTGATAAGGTGAGGGGCTAAGAGTAAGTTTTTCCAAGTAAAAGCAATAAAAACAGATAAAGTAAAAGGAAAAAAAAAAAGAGAATGTAAAGTTTTTTTATTATCTAAATTATATTAAGTTATTAAATAAAAATTACTAAATAAAAAAAAAACCTGACTTTAAAAGGGTAATTTTTATTTAATAATTAATATAGCACAAAATACAGCCGCAAATGCGGTGCACTTTTTTTTTTTTTTTTTTTTATTGCACAATTGAAAGCATTCATCTTTCCATCCCATCTCTCACCACCTGCATAGCATCCACTCGAACTCGTAATCGCTTAGTCTAGGGGGAAGGAGACCACCACCGAGTTCTTAGCTCGTTAACTGCGGTGCACTTTTTAGATAAACGAATCTGGTTAGCGTTAGGGCTCGGAATGAGTAATAAGGAAAATATAAAAGGTCCAGTTAGCAGCAAACTCACCGTGCTGCGATCCCATTTGTCTTAGGATTCTTCATCTTCCAGCCATGGCTTCTGAGAAAGAAGCCGCTCTTGCGGCTGCCCCCTCCAATTCTCCGACCATGTATGTTTCTTCTTCCGATTCTCAAATTTCTGCCTTTTCTTTTGATTCTATTTTTGAAACGCACACAGATGAAACACGTGCACTCTGTTTGACTCGACGGAAAATGGAAAAGAACGGAAACAACGTTTCCTAAAAATTAGAGAAAAAATGCCAGTTTGATTCGTGATATCGGAACCCTTTTCCTTTTTCTTATATCCAAACATATTCATTGATTGTTTTAATAATTTAGGTGTTACTAGAATTGAATTGTCCTTTAAGATTTTGTAAAAACAGTTTTCCATCCATTTTTATATATTTTCCAAATGCATTACTTGCAGCTTTGACAAAATCATCAAGAAAGAAATTCCAGCAAATGTGGTTTATGAGGATGATAAGGTACTGCTAATCCTTTTTATCTGTTGGGAGATGGTGAAATTTCTATTTGTAATGGTTTGGACTGATTAAGGTTTGGGTGGATTTAGTGAGTAGTCTAGTAGGGTAGCTAAAGACAGAACCTTGACTACAAAATTTGGATGCTTTTGCTCAATTCTTGTTTAGAGGTGAACTAAGGTGGTTTGGTTTTACTTTTAGTTATTGGGTGCAAACAACTACATGAATTGTATTTAGTTCAAGTTTTTTAATAGAATATCCAATTTTTCGCAAAAAAGTGTTTTTTGGGTTGGATTGAACAACTAGTGTTGTTTTCTTGAATCATATAATAGATTCATTGTTCTGATTATCTGTGTAGATGAATTACTAGTTTGGCTTCTATATTTTCATTTTGAAAATGGCTTTGAGGATACTATGGTTTCCAGTTAATATATATGGTCGCATATGTTAGTTGATCCATTACTTCTGGTTTTATAATTTGTTTGTTTTTTCTTCTATTTGCTTTTCCAGGTGTTAGCCTTCAGGAACATAGCTCCTCAAGCTCCCACACATATTCTAATTATTCCCAAAGTAAGGGATGGCTTGACTGGACTGTCAAAGGTAATGCCTTTCTCAATCATGTAGGGTAAGACAATAATTTTTTACTCTAATTTGGGGGAAGTCATGGGCCTTGCATTACAACTCTTCTTTTCAATATATTACCATACCATCTATGAAATGTAAATCAACACAGTATGAATGTCCCTTTTTTCTTTGTAATTGGGTATGGCATCCACTTGAAGATATCTTGCATCAGTTAGCTTTTGCATGATTTGTGAACACCCTGTACTATGTCTTGGTAGAGATTTTACCATTTTAAAATCTAACCCCTCCAAACATAAGCCTGTTTTAGAAGATAACTACTTGATTTTGTCTGCTAATCTGCCTGACCTGTTCTAACATTTGCCCTAAAAGAGTGGTAAACATGCTTGTAAAATGGTTCTTGTTTGTGGTGCTTTGATGCTAGTACAATAGGTGCTTTGATGCTAGTACAATAGGTGCTTTCTCTGCATTCCATCCTTCACTAAAGTGTTTGCCAAAATCAGAAGTGTAAGACCTTGATATTAGCACTTGAACTTCGCATTGTCAATGGGTTGTTCTGTGTTCCATTTTCATAACTGTTGGCTTCATTGTTACTTCTTTGAGCTAAATGTGGCTTAGAACAATGCATTGGCTGTATATTTCAATATTTTGGTAGCCTCATAGGTGGGAAGTGGCACTCAAAGCTGACGTTTATTTGGCCACTTCAGCAAGTCCTGAATATTCTTATTCTTAACCTCGAATGGTACTTTATTAAAATATTTTTATTGTTGGAGATAGGACACTGTGCTCTTTTCCATACCAAAAGATGATTGAAAGAATTTGTACAATTGTCATTGAGAACTTCTATTCTTATATCTGTAGGCTGAGGAAAGGCACTTTGAGATTCTTGGCCACCTTCGTTACACTGCTAAGCTGGTAGCCAAACAGGAAGAACTGGAAGATGGCTTCAGGGTTGTGATTAATGATGGCCCACAAGGATGTATATACAGTTTCTTCTTTCTCCATTTTACATGCTTAAACGTGTGTCATGTGTATCTTTTAGAACTTTTATTGATGTAGGAGTGTCCCATTGCAGGTCAATCTGTTTATCACATTCACGTCCACCTCCTTGGTGGCCGCCAAATGAACTGGCCTCCAGGGTAGGATGGTGTAAATATTGATTTGGGCAGGGAAGACATTCATTGTAATGATAGTACAGTAGTATTTGTTCTCTGCCCTGATTGATGATTGTCTAATTGTAAGTAAGCAAACTAGTTACTAGTTGCTTTCTAGTAAGATGCTCTGGATGTTCCATGGCACCGTCTGCAGGGCTTGCCCGTATGCTGGGTAAAGCCAGTGAACCTTGTTAAGTATGAAAATAATATGCTGTGACTTAGCTATGCCCTGTGTTCCTCATTTTCTTCAAGTTTCCAAGTGAAGTGATGTCAATTTACTTTTTGATGCTTTGAACCATCCTTTGAATGTGTTTGGAAGCCTGTGAAAGATTTTGAAGCGTTAGACTGCAGGAATAAACAGTAAGATGGGGTGAAAGATGGGCATAATAACCCAAACGGGCGCCGGTTTTTTCAATCCATTAACTTAGGAACCATGTCCAGCAACATTACATGGATCAAGACAAGTGATTTGGGTTTTTGAAACTGTGTTACCAGTATAAAAGGGTAGCTCTTTTCTCCCTTCTCTTACAGGTTCTGATCTCCTCAGTCCATTTTAAAGACAGATTAATCATATTTGGACTGTGAGATTCTTAAAATTTTGCTTCGTTGTGACCCGTTTCTTGTAGAATTTCAATCAACATTAAGAGAGATGTTAATGAGCCAAGTTTAGCAGGAAATTTCAGTAATTGAGAACATTGAAGGTCGAAAATAGACAATAGAAGATGATAATGAAAGACAACTTTTGATTTACCTTTTTAGTGTGAAAACTATGGTGGTTAACGAATAGAATAGTTCATGAGTATCTTATGAGTTACTTGAGTTAAATTCAATTTGAGCTCGATTTATTTATTAAACGAATCAAGCACAAGCTTAATATGCAACTAGATAAAAAAATGAGTTCCAGTTTGAACTTCCATGATTACTTATAAGTTACTTACTAATAGTTGGCTTTAAATTAAAAAGTATATTATATATTTATTATTATTTTTTTTGAACAAATTCGCAAGGAACCGTTACCTTAAGGTG